GACTCGAAGGCAATCTCATCATATCATAGCTGAACATTTGTATAGAAAAGTATCTTTGGGTCCTTTCTACACATATAGTTGTGTCCATGACAGGCAATGACACAGATCTATTTATACGTATAGAGACGGTGTATAAATTGCTTAAATGCACTTTTTTCTATAATCTATAGCGGTTTCTATAGGCAGCGGAAAGGGCAAAAATTACCATAATGAGAAAACAAAGAATTATTTTAATTTCAATGAACATAAAAACTTAACAAATGATATACAAATACAATGCATAATCATTTAAGCAAAAACAACGACCACGTACGAAACGAACATATATGAATGCAAAACCAACGATCATGTTTGCAGTACAAACGTAAATAAAAAACACGACAAACGAAAAAAAACTTTACAAACGTGCAAGCGGTAAATCTAGACTTCCCGACTCCCGGTTCCCGACAGTCCCCTATTTTTTTTCGGCGATTTCTTTTTTGTCGCGACACAGAAACTCTTCAAACTTCTCAGGTACATTTTCTTTTGAAATGAATTCAATAATATGTATAAAAAAAAAAAAAAAAAAATTAAACAAATTTGCATATCTATTGCTGAATCAGCAGTATCACCTTCCAAAAAGCGGTAAATGTTGTACTCCATTATAAATACGAAATTTAAGGTTTTTGAGATGTAAGGTAAAGGTGTATGGCCACAGATTTGAAGTTAATATTTTCTGTATAATATTATTACTTGTTCCAACTAAATATGCTTATTCAAGGTTCAAGATCAACAAAAATAAAACAAATTATGGAATAATATAAATAATGACAAAGGTTCATATTGTGGATTATAAATTTATAATTAAGAAAGTTTTTTTTACACCAGTATATATTTTAAAACTTTACTAAAGCCGTTCAGATATTTATTTTTATAAAAGTATTAACATTGCAATTTCAATGTATAGTTTTCTTATAGTTTATAGTTACTTATAGTTTTCTTCTCTTTTAAAGCTGTCAAGTATTTGTAAATGCAACCGTTTCTCAGGTCTGAAGCTTGCAGTTTTTAAGTTATCATTACAATCTGTATATAAAGTATCTTGCAATTGTCATAAATAAAAAAAAAAACTTGCATGTCCTGGTAATCTGGGAATGACCATGTCCTACTATTCTGGGAATAACCATGTCCTGCTTTTCTGGGAATAACCATGACCTGCTATTCTAGAAATAACCATGTCCTGGTATTCTGGGAATACTAGTAACCATGTCCTGGTATTCTGGGAATAACCATGACCTGCTATGCTGGGAATACTATGAACCATGTCCTGGTAATCTGGGAATAACCATGTCCTGCTATTCTGGGAATAACCATGTCCTGGTAATCTGGAAATAAACATGTCCTGCTATTCAGGGAATAACCATGACCTCCTATTCTTGGAATACTAGTAACCATGTCCTGGTAATCTGGGAATAACCATGTCCTGCTATTCTAGGAATAACCATGTCCTGCTATTCTGGGAATAACCATGTCCTGCTATTCTGGGAATAACCATGTCCTGCTTTTCTGGGAATAACCATGTCCTGCTATTCTGGGAATAACCAAGTCCTGGTAATCTGGGAATAACCATCACCTGCTATTCTGGGAATAACCATGTCCCACTATTCTGGGAATAACCATGTCCTGGTTATCTGGGAATAACCATGTCCTGCTATTCTGGGAATAACCATGACCTGCTACTCTGGGAATACAAATTACCATGTCTTGGTAATCTGGGAATAACCATGTCCTACTATTCTGGGAATAACCATGTCCTACTATTCTGGGAATAACCATGTCCTGATCCTGCCATTCTGGGAAAAACCATGTCCTAATATTGTGGGAATTACCATGTCCTGGTAATCTGGGAAAAACCATGTCCTGCTATTCTGGGAATTGTTAACGTATTGCTCACTCTTAAAAAAATCTTCATATTAAGACTTGTTTATGTTTATACAGTGAATAATGTTTGAAATCGGTGTTTCTTGTGTTTAGATGAAATACATTCGGTACAGACAGTGACGAAACAATCCTTGCAGAGAAGTTCACATAACTTTACTTTATGGACAGAACACTTTGGGAAGTCTGTAGGGGTTTTTCTATGACTGACCCCTACAACTGTGTGTGGCTTGGTCAATTCTGATGCAACATGCTCCTAAATACACGATTTACAGAGGATGACTCGACAAATTTCACTGTACAGCTGTACCCTGGCAGTTTTGCATTGGTCACATGACATCATATATCCAGAACCCTCAAGGTAGTCCAGAGTTGCTTTATGAATTGCCATCTGGGAAAAAACATTCAATTATAACAATTTGTTTTTGATTTTACTCGATGGACTAATAAGTTATATAATATTGTGAATCCTCGTCAAAAATTAGCTAAGGTTAACTATAGTTTACAGTGTTCCATAGTGCATACTACAAAACATTCAATTTTTTTAACATGAAACTTTGATTTACAACATTTCTTCACTTGATTTATGAAAGGAATTCATTCAAGGTTTAGGGATTTACAATGTCTTCAATTCTAAGTCAATTTATATTATGTGAATAATATGTGAAAAAGCAAGTTATACCGGGGGGTATTCGGCGCCTAACCCACTAGATCATGTATAAATATGTGAATAACATTTAATTATTTTCAGGCAGAAAGATACTATAAATGTATAAATATATTTTCCACATAAAAATGCAGTGTGCTTCTTATTAACCCTAAGAAAATTGTGTCACTCGCAACTTTGAGCATGGATATACATGTCGATATTTGATACGGCCTACTTTTCTTGAAGTAAATATGAAACACACATATCTAAACATTTTGAAGAAACTGGATTTTTTAAATTAATAAATCTTGAATATTAAAGAGTTATCAAATATTTTAGTCCTTATTTATTGTACATTACTAGATTGACTATCTTGTAAAAGCTGCATGTAATTTGGGAAGTCATGTGATAATACTATTAATTGTTGCTCAATACCCTAAACAAAATAAACATTCTCTAGACTTTTGAAGAAGGTGTTATAGTTTCAAATTTCTGAAATGAAAAATAATATTGCACTTAAAAGAAAGAAAAAAACACCATTAAATAAAAAATAAAAATTTTTAAATCAAATAATATTGTACTTAAAAGAAAGAAAAGAACACCATTAAATATAAAATAAAGATTTTTAAATCATCATCTCATGAGATGTGAGTATTTCCAACATGGTTTTTTTTAGCTCACCTGAGCTGAAAGCTCAAGTGAGCTTTTCTGATCACATTTTGTCTGGCATCCGTCTGTCTGTCCGTCTGTCTGTCTGTAAACTTTTCACATTTTCGACTTCTTCTCAAGAACCGCTGGGCCAATTTCAACCAAACTTGCCACAAAGTATCCTTGGGTGAAGTAGATTCAAGTTTGTTCAAATGAAGTGCCACGCCCTCATTCAAGGGGAGATATTTGGGAATTAATGAAAATTTGGTGGAATATTTTAAAAATCTTCTTCTCAAGAAACACTTTGCCAAGAAAAATGAAACTTATGGGGAAACATCCTCAGGTAGTGTAGATTAAAGTTTGTTCAAATTATTACCCCCGGGGATAGGGCGGGGCCAAAATGGCCGACTAAAGTTTTACATAGAAATATATAGGAAAATTCTTTAAAAATCTTCTTCTCAAGAATGACAAAGCCATAATTCATCATATTTATATGGAAGCATGCTCAGGTAGTGTAAATTCAAGTTTGTTCAAATCATGACCCCCGGAGGTAGGGCGGGGCCAAAATGGCCGACCAAAGTTTTACATAGAAATATATAGGAAAATTCTTTAAAAATCTTCTTCTCAAGAATGACAAAGCCAAAATTCATCATATTTATATGGAAGCATGCTCAGGTAGTGTTGATTCAAGTTTGTTCAAATCATGACCCCCCGGGGTAGGGCGGGGCCAAAATGGCCGACAAAAGTTTTACATAGAAATATATATATAGGAAAATTCTTTAAAAATCTTCTTCTCAAGAATGACAAAGCCATAATTCATCATATTTATATGAAAGCATGTTCAAGTAGTGTAGATTCAAATTTGTTTAAATCATGACCCCCCAGGGGTAGGGCGGGGCCAAAATGGGCGACAAAAGTTTTTAAAGATATATATAGGAAAATTCTTTAAAATCATTCTCTAAAAAATAGCAAATCCATGATTGGTCATGGGACTACTTTTGGATTTAAACTTTACAATGAAGAGCAATATTCTACTTTTTCCTACCCTTAGTGCTCAGGTGAGCGATGTGGCCCATGGGCCTCTTGTTTAACAATGCAGACAACCATCAAGTGAAAACCACACTTCTTTGTTATCTGATTTACCAATTACATGTAAAATGACTTACCTGTATGCAGCTGTTGGCTTAAGTAGTGTTTTGATCTAATATATCTATGTACTGTGTGTGTAAAGATAATATTCCTATCGCATGATCATCAGTGTCTGTCCGTGTTAATCAGCTTCAGTGTACAAAATCAAGAGAATATAGGAACAGTCCTTTAGACAGTTAAGAACAAATAAGTGTGTAAAAAGTCTCAATTTAATCGAAAAGTGTGTATATCTTACACCTATCAATTTTAGTGTAAAAATCTTCAGAAAAAGCTGAAGACAAATTCCATTCATCAATATCATGGGGATTTTTTTAATATTAAAATAATACTTTGACTCATATACTTTAAATCCACATTTTTTTCGTTGGATCCAATTTTGAGGGTTTGAGGAAAAAATATTGGCTTGTTGAGGGTATTTGAATTTACGATTGAAAAAAAATTTCAGTCATAAAGCATAAGAATTGTTACATTTCGTGTTTGTCAAAAAATTGTGGGTCTTTCCATACCTCGAAAACAAAATTAGTGATTTCACAGTAGTTTCTTCTGTAGATATACCCTCAAAAGACAACAACTGTTTCGTAAAAAAGTACACAATTCAATATTTTCTATTGATGTTTATCAACTGATTGCTTATAAAGTTTCATTGCATGAAACTAATTACAACAACATTTTTGTTTTTATATTGAGCAACAAACAACAAGTCATTTTCATCCGTACAGAGTCCCCATGGATTAATCAGGCCGCAATCTAGGTAACGAATGAATTGACCGTTCTTGTCAATTATGTGCACACAATGATTTATAATATCTGCAGCTAGGATATTGCTCCGACTGTCTGTTGCAATGCCTCTTGGATCAAATGGTTCGTTTTTTGGAACACGAGTATGACCAGTGTACCTGAATCTCAGTTCCCCAGCATCATTGACAACCACTACTGCTCCTGCTCTTTGATCAGATACGCAGATATCCAGGTTCTTATTCTCAGTAATATATCTATAAAAATCTCCAGAAGAAAATAGAGGGATACCCTTATAGGAAAAAATGGTTTGTTTCTCTTTGAAGCCAACATAACGGACAACTTTTGATTGTTTATAATCATCCCTAACCATAACAACTAAGATATGACCAGAAGAGGTACTACAAACACCGTGAGGTATCCAGTTTTCTAATTCGTATAGAGGCCTAAATTTACCATTTTTCAAAATGTTCACAGATCTATCATGGTAGTCAGTATAAACTAACTGTCCAGTTTTCGTTATTGCTATACTTTCTGGCCGATGTCCTGATAATGTTTTGATCGACTTGATATATACTCCCTGGTTAGAGTTAAACATTTTCATGACGCAGTGATCTCCGCTAGTCCAGATTCGCATATTACTTTGACTTGTCAAGTTGTAAAGATGAAAGTCATATCGTGTTTTAAACATGGTGATGACCTCAGGTTTATAAAGGATATCTTTAATCATTGATGGTGTAGGTTCATCTGAATGAAATGCCAATGACCCAAACCTTGCAGAAATTAAATCCTCTGGCTTTGAAAGCTTTGAAAATATTGGTAAAACTATGTCAAATTTAGGAGGTATCGTAAACTCTGGTTCAAAGTCTGTATTAATATTTAAATGTTTAGCAATATTGTTTGATCTCAGTATACCAGTGATTTGCTCCATGTATTGTTGCACTTTGTGTAAACTCTGTTGTAATTTTTCTTTGCTTGAATTTAATGTCTCTTTGTGTTGGTTTTCCACTTTTGATACTTGAGATGTTAGTTTTTTGACAACAATTTTAATTGCTTTGCACCACTCCTCCCCATGGTCAGATATTTCTGTTTTCAATTTATTGCAACGTTCATCGAAATCCGCTATTTGCTTTTCTACTTCTGATAATTCATTGTGGCATTTTTCATAGAAATCCTTTTCTAGTCTTCTCAGATAAGCTTTTACTTGATTCTGCTTTTCCTGGAATATTTTAATCATCGTTTGAAATTTGTGTTTCTCGTGTTGTTCTGCGAAAATGCATTCAGTACAAACAGGAAAATTGCATTTCCTGCAATGAAGTTCACAAATTTTCTTTTCATGGGAGTGACACCTAGGGAAAATGGTAGTTTCTCTTTCTTCGTACAAACTGATAAATGTGTGGCATTTGTTTATATCAGACGAGACATGTGTTCCAATGCATGTCCTACAGAGGTTTACATCACAAAAGGCACAGAAAACTTTTACGATACAAGATCCACAGATGTCACATCGAATTATTTCTGGGACACTATTTCGTTGATCTATAGGATTTACAAAATCTAAAGGAAGAAAAACGTATTCTCTCTTTAATGCATTTAGATTTCAATCTGACAAATCACATACGATCAATACAATGTTAATACTTAAATATTCAAATGTTTAAGATATCCTAGTGACAAAAGTGAGGCATTGGTACATGAAGGGCTAGGAAACATAATTTTTAAAATGTTCGTGATGATTTCAACTTCCCTTACTTAGCAATGAGAAATATATGTTACAATTATATGTAAACAGTAATATACAAAAAGTCTTGAAAGTTACTGTTAAATTTATCAGAGACTGTTTTGAACTTAAAAGTCAATTACTTGACAATTCTTAAAAATTATGTAAACATAATTTAACAATTTTCAGTGGGCCTTTGCCAATTATTGTAATTGTGTTTGTGCCAATGAAGTATTTGTATTTGTATTTGTATAGCAATATACACTTATCACCAAAGTCGTCTGCGTGGTGCTGAGTCTTCTCTAGAGGCACAAAGTAAGGAGTTGATCCTTACGTCGCGGGTGCGAATCCCACTGTGGTACGTGGAGACCAGTCCTTCAGATGAGACTGTATAAACCGCGCTCCCGTGTCGCAATAGGTGTTGGCAAGAAACCCCCCCCCCCTGCTCAATGGCCCTGGGTGGCAAGTATATGAGAAAATTCACAGCTCTCGATGTCGTTAACATATGAGTAAAATATTCTCGAGAATGACGTTAAACAACACAAAAAAACCCTTATCATCTCGAGATTATGTCTCTCAGTTAGATTCAATACGCAAGAGCATGCCTTATGAATTAACAATTTCTAAAATGAGGCAAGCTGTTGAAATCAATTTGATGAAACACTTTGACATCGTAAGCAAATACAACTTATCATTAGGTAAAATGCTACATTTAACTGATCTTTTCATACTTATTGTAAGACCATTTGTACATGGTGATTGGCACAGATCTTTTCACGATATTTTTCGATCACGACAGGGAGCACACGGCAGGTGTGACCGGTTTTTAGTGGATGCCTACTTCTCAATGGTACCTGATCCCACCTTTGATGTTTTTCGATATTGATGTTTGCTTTGCATCCGATTTGATCGATGAAATGGATTCTAAGCTGAATAAAGTTCGTAATCTTCATATTTCATTACAGTAAAATTACATTTCTACTTACTTAAGGAGGATGTACAAGCCATATGGGATCTAGTCTGGTGTAAAATAAGAAATACCAAGAATGCGCTTAATACTTTTCTAACCTAGCCCAGAGTTACTCAAAGTGTTTATGCACTCATTACCTACTGTTAGAGACCAAAATAAGTAAATAATTATGTTTATTTTGCTTTAATTAGGAGGAAAATAATCACGTTAGAACTCCGCAGCCACAGCTTTCACGAGATGAAAAATGCATTGAAAATAGTGTTATTTTGATTCATTGATAATATGGCTACAACCATTTGTTTCGCTTTTTTCTTGTCATTATCCATAATTCTTGAAAATTGGATTTTTCATATGGGTGTCTTCCTGGGGCCATTTGTTTATTTCGTCCGCCATTCCTCCGTCACACAGAGATCGAATAACATTGATTTTAGAATAAATGCGACCATAATGACATCAAGACAAGAAATTACTAAGTAATAATCATTTGGTTATATAACTTGCCACTTTTATTTGTTGCATCGCATCGTCTGATTAATGAAAAAGCGCGATTTTAACCCCACTCCATCAAATCGGGAAAAACTGTTCTGTTCATAGCTGGAGTTTCCTCCTTAATATCATTCCACTGAGCACGTGGTTGGCATGTGCATATATCTGCTGTGGGTAGATGAGTTTATTACCATGACTATATTTAATTTTTCATGGAACAAGTCTTGATAATTTGTTGGTTTCTTTAAAACTCAAGAAAAAAGATAAAAATGTCCTAAACATATGTATTTCAGTGGGACTTTTTTTGATAGGATTTATTTTCGAATGGGGCACTGCAAGGAGGATGCTTAGCATTTAATTTGAAAATGTTAAACAATATGCGGTTCATGAAAAACAAATTCTAATTACACATCTTACATTCGAAAAGTTAGTACATATGTCTATTTTGTTTAGCAGTTACATAGGAAAAATAGGCAGTTATAGGATCTCCTTCATGCACCTCACATAAATAGCTAGATTGTTTGCAATGACCCACACATTGTATGGAGTAATGTTTGGACATAAAAATGCACCATGTCTCATTATGTTGACAAAGTTGTAAGCTCTCGCCCATTGAACATACGAAGCTTGATAAAATATATTGAGTTGTTTCTTTGAAATTTAGAAGCGAGCAAATTGTTTGCAAAAAAAAAATGTCCATTGCATATGCTATGTCTATCTTCGCAAAAAAGTGAGAGGTTACCCTCCCCCCCCCCCCCCCGAAAATCATATGTTTGTTTTTCAAAATAGAAATAGTGCCAAAGATTAAAAAATTTTGCATTACTAAGTATGTGATGGAACATGTACTAGCCTTATAAGATCACTTCTTATAAATATATTTGGGTGCCCTCTCTCCCGATTTACAAATGACTCGACTCACTTTTTAGCTCCACCTGAGCTGAAAGCTCAAGCGAGCTTTTCTGATCACATTTTGTCCGCCGTCCGTCTGTCTAGCTGTCTGTCTTTCTGTCCGTCTGTAAACTTTTCATATTTTCGACTTCTTCTCAAGAACCGCTGGGCCAATTTCAACAAAACTTGCCATAAAGCATTCTTAAGTGAAGGGGATTAAAGTTTGCTCAAATGAAGGGCCATGCCCTCATTCAAGGGGAGATACTAGTAATTGGGAATTAATAAAAATTTGGCGGAATGTTTTAAAAATCTTCGCAAGAGCCACTGTGTCAGGAAAGATGAAACTTATATGGAAATATCCTCAGGTAGTGTAGATTCAAGTTTGTTCAAATCATGACCCCCGGGGGTAGGGCGGGGCCAAAATGGCCGACCAAAGTTTTACATAGAAATATATAGGAAAATTCTTTAAAAATCTTCTTCTCAAGAATAGCAAAGGCATAAATGATCATATTTATATGGAAGCATCCTCAGGTAGTGTAGATTCAAGTTTGTTCAAATCATGACCCCCTGGGGTAGGGCGGGGCCAAAATGACCGACCAAAGTTTTACATAGATAAATAGGAATATTCTTTAAAAATCTTCTTCATAAGAATAGCAAAGCCGTAAATGGTCATATTTATATGGAAACATCCTCAGGTAGGGCAGTTTCAAGTTTGTTCAAATCATGACCCGTGAGGGGGGGGGGGGGGGGGGGGTAGGGTGGATCCACAATGGCCAATAAAGTTTTACATGGACATATATAGGAAAATTCCTTTAAAATCATGTTCTAAAAATACCACAGCCATGGTTGGTCACGGGACTACTTTTAGATCTAACCTTTTTAATTATAATCCAATTTCTACTTTTTGCTAGCCGCAGTGCTCAGGTGAGCGATGTGTCCCATGGGCCTCTTGTTTTTAAATCCCATTACAATTTTATTTTTATTTTTCTTCCGTCAAAAATATGTTTAATTTTTATTTTGTTAAAATAAATTTTAATAAAAATCCATACCCTCTGATACTAAAACAGAAGCTTCTGTTTTAGTATCAGAGGGTATGGATTTTTATAAAAGGCTAATCTTAGCTTTATTTTTGGATTTTTAGTAGTAATACTTTGTGAATATGTCATAGAAATATATTTTAATAAAAAAAGTCAAAGAACCCTTGGAGTACGGAACACGGAAAGGGGAGGGGTCCCGACCCCAAGCACCTGTGGATAATATAAGTTATCTGTGGCAACTTTACAAACTCTTAATTCTTAACTTTGATGGTGCTCATATCTAAAGATTTTTTTATATCAATACGTACACTATTTAACAACTGATCGATAATATTACTAAAAAGTATTACTTCAAGCCACACTAAAACACATTTCCTCTTTTAAAAGTGTTCATATTATTTGAAATATTTTGCAATTGTAATTCTCTTCTACATTTAAAGATTGTTATGTGCCTCCATATTAAGAAGAGGTCTGGAAAACAAAATTCTGTGCTAAAAATAGACTTGTTGCTATTTATGAACAACTACTTTCATGGTTCTTAACACTCTTTTTGAAGACAACGGTACCTTGTTTTGAATTTGAAATTATCATTTAAAAAGTGCAAAATTTAGACAATTTCTCAACAAATGGTTCTAGAAAAAACATTAATGCACAGTTTGTATATTTTTTTGGAATTTTTAAAGCTATGTTGAATTCTGTTGCTGCGCAGTTTTAAGGAGCATATCAAAAACATTTTTTTGCAAAAGTATAGATTATATATGCACAACATACATTCGATTACGCATATTTATTGTATCTTTATCATAAGGACTTTAAATTTGATCAAAATATAATGTATTTTAGCGATTTGAAGAAATGTTTACATTTTGTTTTCACTGCACTTAAGGTGGCCGGACATCCCCCTTAAGTTTCACTTGTAGACGAACAAAACAATAAACTTTTTAAATTAGTAAGCAAAATAAAGAAAAGAAAAACAAACAATATAAATCAATATAAAGAAAAAAAGGCCCAAGCATCATCTCGTATTTTGAAAAGACAGAAATACTTACATGTTTGTTCTTGTGTGAACGATTAATTTTTTTATTGACTAGCATTTACCGTATGATGTTTAAATTTGCTTCAAGTGACGATCAGAC